AAGTACATATATAGGCCGCACTCTGAGATATATACTGGTAACATACACAAATACATGCCGTAAATGTTTTTTTCTTTTATTTTTCAGAACAGTGCTTGCAACAGGGCTGGTTAAAAATATCAAATAAAACAACAGGAAGTCGCTGATCGCTAGCTTCATCTTCCTCCTGCGCACCACGTGTACGCTGCGCACTGCTTCATGAGCTTGTGCTGTCCTCTTCATCATGTTTCCTCCTCCCTGGGGGCACAACAGGGAAGGGAGAACGGGAGAATGGGGGTGGGGGGCAAACAGGTAGTCTCATCGAGTCACGAGGACCCACCCCCAAAGAGAGACACGTATTGGGCAGCTATGTGAACGTCTGGGTGTGACGAGGCTAAATGTTTTGTCGGCATCAAGCTCGTCAGCTCATAAATAATAAAATTAAAATAAATTCCATAAATTAGCTGCAGCATTGTATAATACGGCGCGGTGTTCAAAGCGTGTGAAAAAAGTAGGGATGCACCGATCCACTTTTTTTACTTCCGATCCGATCCCGATACCTAGACCGGAGTATCGGCCGATACCGATCCAGTTCCGATATCATGATCATCATTGATTTTATATGAGGCTGTAATAATCTCCTCTCAAGTACAATTTGTACAAATCTATGCATGCATGCCCAAAATGCAACTTGAGGTAAGTTTTATTAATGTTGGATAAGTTTCAAAGTTAGAATTAAATTCTGCTAACACAAAACATGTTTATTTTTATTCCTAGTTTTAAAGTGATTAATTTAAGTGATTGTTTAAAGTTGTTTTATATTTTTTAAGGGGCAGATATAAGAATTTTTTCTTCTTTCTGCACTCTTTTCATTCAATGTTATCTTTTTAATGATTTTTAAAATATTTTGTTTCATTAAAATGAATGAATTAAATTAAATTAAATGTTAAATGGCTTCAAACACCTGCTAAGTTCATGGCATAAACCAACAGACGTTCCTGTTTTTAGTATTTTACATCACTTTATAATGTAGCTGTTTATGTTTTTAATATAATTTTCAATTCATATGTTTTTTTATGATTTTCTACTGTTGCACTGATAAATATCTCCTGGAGGGTAAACTAGATCTTGGCTGCAAGTATCAAGCTGTGAAATCCTTCGTTTTCTACAACTGATAGTGGTTGGTCATTAATTATGAAGTTTCGCAACTTCTCTGTAAACATTTGAGCTCCGTGGTTTCAGCGAAGTCTTCTTCTTGTTCAATCCGAAGCAGGCAGCCTGATTTGGGGCAGCCCTGCTCAGTCTGTCCCTCCTCAGAGACGAGCAGACTGAGCGGGGCAGATTGGACGCGGCTGGCCGGGGTCGAGTCGCCTCTTTCGGTTTGACCAAAGAGCAGCGCCCCGCTGAAGCCACGGAGCTCGAATGCCCATCGTAAAACTAACTTTAACGTGGTTTAATGTGGCGCTATGGATCTGCAGACATTGCACGATGCTGTCTTGTTTTGTGGTGTTTAGTGTAAAATACTTCCACACAGCGGACATGTTTAGATGAAAAGTTTGTTAGCTGTTAGCCACAGTGCTGCTAACTCAGTCCTCACGTTGTAGCTGGCTGCAAACTATGAAATGGATTTCCTGAATGTGAGACGGGTCTTATTACTCTGGGTTCATGAGACACGCCGCCGTTCATGAAATCCATTCCATAGTTTGAAGCCAACATGCATCATGGATCGGAAAAATCCGATACGTAAATGATGCTGGTATCGGAGGCCGATACCGATACTGGATCGGCCCCATCCCTAGAAAAAAGTAGCAGCTTATAGTCCGGAAATTACGGTAGTCAGATTCACGTGTTTGTTATCCACCTCTAAATGCAGCACGGATAGAAAAGTCGACCCACACAAACTACACACAAAAACAAAACGGTTCGGCCCATTACTTTGGTTGGCATTTTGAGTAACCATGGCAATGCAGTTTGCTAAAACAATGACCCCAAAATGGTAGAAATGCACGGAGACCAAATTTAAATCCTAACAAAACTAATCGTTCTTTGAAATATTGACACTGAAGTTTTTTTTATTTGGGTCAACCCAGTCCAAAATGGCCTCCACAGCTCCTACATGATCTGCTGTAACTCGGTCATCTTTATATTGATAGACCCCGAGCTATGACTGGGTGTGATGGCAGCTCTGCTGACGGATCCTTCAGCTCTTTGGGAAGATTTGGTGCAAAACGTCTCATAAACCGCAGCTTAGATTTGAATAAACTCCACGAGTCATCACTCACCTACAACCTGCTGGAGTCAGTCTGTGGTCCAGTCAGGCCTCGGCGGGGAGCGGGGTGAGATTAATCTGCAGGAACAAAACATTTTGTGCAGTTAACAGCTGGAACTCCAGTTTTAAACAGACAAAGCTACAGAAGTCCAGATGTTCCGTTTGTAAACTCGGGTTGTAGAGCTGAGCTTTGCACGTTGTTCCTGGACATTTGAGACAAAATGTGACGACACATTAAACACAGCGATGATTTTTAAAGAAAACATTTAAACTAGTTGCCGTGATCGTGTCACTCTTGAACGGATCGACTGAGAGGATCAGATCTGTAAAGAAAAACAAGGTGGAAGGGAAGAACACTCAAAAACTACCTCCATTTATTTAACCTTTATTTATCCAGGTAGTCTCATTGAGTCAGGACTCATGAGAGACCTGTTTGGGAGCTAAGGGCCTTGCTCAAGGGCCCAGAGTGGAGCAAATGAGGGTGGAGGCAGGTGTGGGTTTTACACCATTTCCACACACATTTTGATGTTAGTCCAGGGAGTCAAACCGGCAACCTTCAGATCACAGGCCCACCTTCTGTAACCTCTGCACCACCACTCCCCTCCTCCACTCCATATCAGAACGCCATGGGCTGACAGACGTCTGCGGGTTCCTCTCCTCAGCCGTGGAGCCGTTTAGGGCGTAAAAGTACCGTACTTTCTGCTGTACGCGTCGCATCAGTACGAATATGTCTAATAAAGTAGAAAAACACATAAATAAGTTGCTTCGCTGTATAAGTTGCATCTATTATGCGTCACCGCTGACGACCAGGAAATGCGGGCCGGTGTTGTGCCAAAAATCGATTGGCTGCCAAATGGCGGCCGCGGGAGCGTGCACAAGCGGACTTTAACAAGATTAACACTTAAAAACAATTATTGGTTTGCTCGACATTATAGCAAAGGTTTGTCTCAGTCTAACTTTTATTTAATTAATGCACTTTAATGGTCAAATCTGCTGCATGTCGCCGGGGCGGAGCGGCAAAGTTCAGCTGATTTGACGTTTGCTCCAGGCGTCCCGGAGCGAGACGAAGGTGGCGGACTATAGCAAGCCAAGTGCGTCATTAATAGCCACTTTTACCGTATTTTTTACCTTATAAGTCGCGGTCTTTTGCATAATTTGCATGACCTGAGAGTTATACGCCGAAGCGACGTATTTATGGATTTTTATCTCATATTCACAAAACAATTTTTACCGGTTTCATTCGTTCTGACTGAAAATACTGAACACTAACATTTTCAGCCGCTAGATGACGCTGGAGTGGTATGGCAAGCCGTTGTGTCATGTAATAGGTAAAAGTAGCTATTAATGACACAATCTGCTTGCCATACAATGCCACCTTCGTTCTGCTTGGAGCAACCGACAAAATGAACATCATTTTGCTGCACCACCCCGGAGAAATGCAGCCAGTTTGACCATTGAAGTGCATTTATTAAGTAAAAGTTTAACTGAGACACGCCTTTACTAGAACGTCGAGCAAACAAATTATTGTTTTTAAATGTTAATCTTGTTAAATTTAGAAGAAATGCACAGACTCGTCCCTCTGTGCGTACCCGCTTCCACGAATCAAGTTTTTAAAAGCAGCGTCAAAGTGGGTTTAAGGAAAAGTTAGACTGAGACGCACCTTTGCTATAATTTCAAGCAAACAAATAATTGTTTTTAAAGTGTTAATCTTGTTAAAGTCCTCCGGTGCACGCTCCCGTGGCCGCCATTCAGCAGCCAATTGATTTTTGGCACGACACCGGCCCACATGTCCAGGTTGTCAGCGGTGACGCATAATAGATGCAATGCATTTAGGGATTTTTACACTTTATTAGCCATATCAGATGCGACTTATAGGGCAGTGCGACTTGTACGGCAAAAAATACGGTACATATTGAGACGATTCGCTTACCGTAACACTTGAGGGCCCTCTAGTGGCTGAAAATGGTAGTGTTCAATATTTTCCATGTCTGAATGAACGAAATCGTCAGATCGCAGCCAAAAAGTGGGTTATAAATATGAGAAAATTAATAAATAAATAAAAAATATATATATATATATATTCGTTGTTTCGGTGTATAAGTCACAGGACTTGCAAATTTATGCAAAAAGGTGCAACTTGTATCGCGAAAAATACGGTAATTTTCTGTCATTGACCGAAATGACGAGACCAGACTGAGAACATCGTCCAACATTGGGCTTTATTAGATTCAGTGTAATCTAAAATGTTACAATGGAGTTCTAAAGACGTACAAACATGGTTACGGTCAGAACATTTTCCACCCAACATGAAAAGACACCTTCCTGTCTAGAAGCAGTCGAATAATCTTTAAAAAAAATAAAATAAAATAAACCACGAGTGACGACACACACTGATGCAGAGATGGAGTTTAAGGCCATTTGAAGGGGCACAGTTATGTTTTTGACATCAAATATAAATTAAATTTAAAAGCCATCAGTTATGCTTTTTGCATTAAATATACCACTAAGCTAACTTCCTATTCTAATCAGCTTAAATAACAAACATATATAGATATAGTTATATAGGGTCGAGCCAATTCTGTCACACTTCCTTCATATGTGCCTCCTTCGAATACGTTGTTGCCTGACAGAAACTCTCACACGCACACACACATGCACGCACGCACACGTCAGAAGTTAAGAGCCCAGACAGCAGAGAAAAAACAAAAAAAGGTGAGCAGCTTCTTAACGGAGCATACGCTAGAAAAATAGATATATAAATATACTGTACTGGAATGTAGGAGAGCCAACAGGACGCTCGACACAAAAGCATTCTGATCAATATATCGATTTATTTTTTATGCGTGTGGAGAAATATTTGTCCTAAAGGACTGTGGAGACAGAAACCCACGTGAGTTTTGGGTTTGAAAAGGACAAAAGGAGCAGAAATCAACAGGAAGGACAAAAAGAGGCTTCCACTCAGAATGTAGTGACGTTTCATTTTACAGTTGTGGTTAAATTTGGTGATCGGATGTGGAAACGACCCCCGCCTGTCGTTTGGTGCCGCCTTTAACACGTTCGGACCGAACGTCGTTATGAAGCGAGGAGATCTCAGCAGCTGGAGATTCTGGGGGTCGACCTCCATCCTCGGTAAAAATCAGAGCTGGCAGCCGCTGGTGTGTGAAGCACCAGGAGACGCACACTCCTGCAGCTCCAAATTAAACATGGATGTTTGAAACAAAGGGTGTGGGGGGGGGGGGGG